CTCTTCTCCAGACTAAACAGCTCCAGTTCCCTCAGCCGTTCCTCATAAGACTTGTTCTCTACACCCCTCACGAGCCTTGTTGCCCTTCTCTGGACACACTCCAGCAACTCAGTGTCTTTCCTGTAGTGAGGGGCCAAACATGGACCAGTTGGAGTGGGTCCAGAGGAGACCGCAAGAATGGTCAGAGGGCTGGAACACCTCTCCTGTGAGGAAAGGCTGAGAGAGTTGAGGCTGCTCACCCTGGAGAACAGAAGGCTCTGGGGAGACCTTATCACAGCCTTCCAGTACCTGAAGGGTCCTACGAGAAAGCTGGAGAGGGACTTTTTACAAGGGCCTGCAGTGATAAGATGAGGGGTAGTGGCTTTTAACTGAAAGAGGGCAGATTTAAATTAGATATAAGAAAGAAATTATTTGCTATGAGGGTGGTGAGGCACGGGAACGGGTTGCCCAGGGAAGATGTGAATGCTCCCTCCCTGGAAGTGTTCAAGGTCAGGCTGGACAATGCTCTGAGCAACCTGGTCTAGTGGGAGACGTCCCTAACGGTGGCAGGGGGGTTGGAATTAGATGATCTATAAGGTCCCTTTCAACCCAAACCATTCTATGATTCTATGATTTACATGAGGAACATGGCAATCATGACTCATAACCCAAAATGGTGTGTGGATCTGTAGGGGTGGAGGGGGGAGTCAACTCAGTGCTCTGTGACTCGACACTACAGCCACGCTAGAAAGAGTTCATTTTGGAAACTTCTGAGTAAGACAACAGGCAAGGGAGACTGCATTCTAAATAAATGTGCTGTTTTCTCAGATACTTCTCTTTGGTTGCATAAGCAGGTGAGGGCTTTTGGATGTGCCAACTCATCCTGTTGCCAAATGGAGGGGTTAGTAATCTCCCCCAGAACAGCTGCACAAAGAGCAATATTCAGCATCTTGAAATGTCTCTGTTTCATGGTGCCCTAACAGCACAGTACTGCTCTCTAGCAGACACTCTGCCTTCATCCATAATCACATTTAACAATTAAATCTATGTCAAGAGTTGAAACCATGAAGAACTATTGTCCACTTAACATTTCTTGCACAGTGAAGACAAACAAAGACAGGAAACCAAATATTTTGAAAGACTTGAGGAAATTCTTCCTAGGTATCTCACTGCACTTTGAACAGTAATAACCAAAAGGGGGGGGAGAAATGTGATTTGCGGATTTGCATAAATGTCCTCCCTAGAATTCCAAGTGGCTCTCCTGTCAAATTATGCAACACCTTCTGAAATCTTTGCGTATTTTAAAAATATAAAGTGATCTGCTTTGTAACACTTTCTGACTAAATGCACAGGCACTACCTTTCAGAGCACACTTCTACAACCTTATCAGGCAATTGGGAGTGTTTTCCAGAGCAGCAGATAAAAAAAGCAAGTTACTACTCCTTTACCTTCCTGACCATTATATTTTAGGTTCAATGCCACTGTTGAGTTTTATCACCTCCTGCATCAAGCTCATATGGCTGAGATGCACTGAAAATATTAAAAGGAGAGGGAGGCAATTAATGCAGAGAAAAACCTCAAACCTTAAATAAAACTATTCCACTTTCTATAGCTTTGCTAAAATAAGCTTTTTGGCAGATACTAATATTCTGAGCTGGCTGGCAGCCTGAAATGAGTTTGTGGGAATCAGGTAGCACAGATGGGTGGCTCGGAGAGAATGTGAAGCCTCCTGCGAGGTTACTTAACAGTTTTCTTTATGTCCCAGGTGTCCACAGCAGGCCAGTGAAGATACGATCCTTACTCCCAGAATGCAAATCAGAGCAGCAATGTATACTATGCAAAGTCCAGGCATCACGCAGAGTGTGACAGCCAGGAACAGGAATCTCGGTACCATCAGCCAGCACCGCAACTCTTTCCAAGTGCACAGCCTCCTACAAAATCCAATCCATGAGAAGATCATTCAAGGGTTGGGAGCAGATGAGTCACAGGCATCTGGGGGGTGACATTATGTGGGCTCTCATTTTAACTCTCATTGTTTTTTCAGCACACAAAATATACACAACTTAAGCTAATTTTATTGAACGCTGCTACAACAAATCCCTCTTGTCGACTGCTCTCTGCAGAGGGCTTTATTATATAAGTTATTTAACTTTTTTGCAGCTCAAAGACTGCAACTGAGACTGAGCTTGATTAAAGTGTAGTTGTTTGCTGAATATAACTTTGTTGTAACTGCTGACTTCTCAAAATATATGCACCTCTAAGAGCTGTTGTTACATCTCTAGTGGTAATAGCATATGTTTGTGGTACTGAGTAGTGCTGGGTTCCCTTCACTAGGCTCTAGTTCCCCCCGCGGTACTCAAAGGTTTAGACCAGTTATCCAGCTATAGAGCCTCAGGCTCTATACAGCATATGTAGCGCACTATTTCAGATCAAAACAATGACCAAGGTAGTAATTTGGGCGTGCGGCAAATGTCTAAAGATAGGTTTGGAGTCCTAAACTTCTATGATTCATAGGTGGGTATATCAGCCATCAATAACTCTGCCTTTATTTTCTGTAACAGCTCCCAGAGAATTAAATATAGATCTAGGAGTCTGCAAGAATGAGCATTGTAACTAATTATTAGAATATAAACTATGATGGAAATCTATGTCATGTCTGCCATCACCAGCAAATGCAGGATGGCTTATCGCTCACTGAGAGAAGGACGACGAGCCTCATCCTTACCACAGGGTGAGATAATTCCCAGGGCCAAGCACTGCAGTGGAGGTAACACACGGGCCAGACCCTCACTGACCTTTCCATGACCTATCAGAGCAGCCATATCTGACACCAAGTGTCTTGTTTCAGTAAAATATGGACCATGAGATCTAGTTCCAGGTGACCTTCCAAATTTTTTTCAGAAAGGGCAAGACGTGTCTCTGAGAGCATCTAACAGCATAAACCAGTTGTGCCTCCTGCGTAGCATATTTCCATGTTTTCAGTGCAGTGTACAGGAAGGAGGAATACCGCTGTCATATAACACACATGCCCTCCTTTTTACCCGTTAATTATTGACAGCAGTTCTAAACTCATTTTATGCAGACTGTGGTTTATATTTATGTGAGATTAACTTGACCTTGATTTTATTAACTGTGGAAATATCACAAACCGGCCTACACCACCACTTCTCAGATGTGTTTGTAGAGTGCTTTAAACATTTAGAGCACACTAAATGCTGAATATTAAATATCATGATGTCAGGCGAGGTGTTATTGGTGCAGTAGTGAAAGTGGCAGCATTATAACATTCTCAATGTACTGAAACCAATCGCTAAAATATGCTTGTTTGTGTCCTCATAGCACAACTAAAAGCGACTGGCAACACACAGATGCATCTAGCCCAGAATTTGGGGAATAAAGACAAGTTTTTCTAATTCCTTCTGACTTCAAGTTTCCATACTCTGGAAAGTTTTCTTCTCTGTGTAGTACTAAAAAATTACATGCCGTGTTAGAGGCGACAGGTAAGCCTCTGTTACTGCTGTGCGACACAAATCAGAAACAATGAGTTTTGCTTAGTACTTCTTTGTAATACTGCTTACTCTGCTTCAGATTAATTTGCATTTAGGTGTGGGAATTTTGCAAATGTGATATGACAGCTCAAAATATTACTTTTCCCACACGGACAAACGTCAGGAAAATTATCCATTTGCATTCAGAACAGCACCCAACTGCACTGTTGCTGCCGATGAGATGGTGTCTGATGTCATTTAAACAAACATAAGCATTCATTTCTTTCCCAGGATGAAACAAAAAATATTTGTAAGTGACAGCATATTTATCACTCTGCTACTGCTGGTTTCATCCTTGTATCCTATTATTTTTCTCAAACTGTTCAGGTACACCAATTAGAAACGTTGCTCAATAAATACCTACTTTCCACCCTGCTTAATCCATCCAAATATTACTGGAGTCTTCTCAAGGAATTTCCACAAGAATTAAGTAAATGGAGGAATCGCCACAATATTATTTATTTATTTAACATGCTAAGAACACAGCTGCCCTGAATTTGATCAATAATAATTCCTTAATGAAAATGCAGGTCACAAACAGAATGCCCAGTCAGAAACCACTGCCTTCTAAACTAATCTGCCTTACAGATGAGTAAATTCACTAAACAACCTGTTAAACAAATACTATTATGTTTACTCTTCACACCACAAGAAAGGCAAAAGCTGAGAAGCACTCCCCGGAACAAATAAAATTCAGTAATTACTTATTTAAACAACTGTAAGAGCAATAATACAGTGTTTTGAATCTTTGACTACCTATACTGAGCAATTAATGGTGCACAGTAAACTATCAAATAAATATTGCAGATTATTTGCTGCTGTTTATGCCTGTGCAATGCAATTCTGATTCTCTGCGTATGTCCCATTTCATCAGGTCATATCAACTCATGTTTTGTCAGTGTTTATTAATTCAGCCTAAATTCCATCACATGACACACACTTCAGTGGACTTAATATTAAAAAACACTTTCTGTAATTCCGGTTATTTTAAAATGTGAATAGATACATCCCATTACCCAGTGACTTGCATGTCAAGTTTATTGCATTTCAAGAATTTTTTTACTTAAGGTGTTGAGCAGTCACTTAAAATCCTATTCCCCTTTACTTTTAACTTGCAACGCCCAAACTAATGAGTTTATTTCCTCTCCTTATTAGAGGAGCAACTTGAGCTAAAGCTCATGGGAATTACTGAGGTCTACCATTAAATTTTAGACAACCTCAAGTTTCTAACAAGATGAAGAAGTATTGCTATGCCACTTAGAAACTATTCTGCAAAAAGTAAAATCTTAGCAAATGAACATAGGTAATTTTTCCTTCTGCTTTGCTGTGATTTAGTCTCATTTCAGTTGTACACATGGGACAACAAAGAATTAAATAAGTACATTATGTTTTGTAATGATGGTTACATCCAGAGAAACAGGGTGTGGGAGAAAAAGGGGATGAAGAAAGAAAGAAAAAAGTTAACTGGTTTACCTGATACTGTACAACACTTTTCCAGTTTTAGAAATCCTCAACAACTTGTTGTCTGTTGTGACATCGTGGAAGTTTGCTCCCTTCTCATTGGCAAAGAATAAATCTGGCTTCCAAATAGAGTCCAACATAGAGGGATCCAAATCCAGAGAATCATCAGGATATTCGCTGTAAGCCAGACGTGAGTCATTCCACTGCTGTCTCAAAAAAATGTTCACTCTGTAGTCCTACAGAAATGCCATGTGAAAAGGTTATTAAGACTCTTACCAAAACTGGAAACCCGCTTTAGCTTTCTTTATGCTCTTAGGCTTACTACAGTGCCAGAGTTACAGCAAACATTTATGTTATCCTTTGAACATAGGAGTTGTTGTTTGAAAATAAAGCAGTCTAAACCTTGTATTGAACCAAACAAACACAACTGGTACATTTTCCAAGTCAACATTACTTCAATGTTGAAAAAATATGAAGTATAACCCCCAATATTACATATAACCTGCTTTCAAATGCTATGGATTAACTCAGAGGTACTTAGCCAAAAATCGTTGCAGCTAAACATATACAATTTCAATAAAGATTCTATAAAACTACTAATTTAAATAACTTTCTTCCAACTTGTAAATCAATTATTTCTAATGTACTGATGAATAGTTGCTAATTCCACTGAAGCCAGATTTGTATAGAACAAATTAAATCAGCTGTTCTTATTTACTGTTTTTTCCCTTTTTCTATCTACCGTATGCTTTTCTCTGTATGTTCCTTCATTCACTCCTCCCTCTCTGCATCCCATTAAAATTGTTCTAATTGCATTCTTTTGCTCAGTGGTCTGCTAGTAACAACTGGGAAAGGCAGCAATTACTTAGAGGTTCATTTAGAACCAACATTAACATTGTGTCAAGAGCTGGCTATTAAAGGGGAATGTGAAAAGAGCTTGTAGGGTCTCAACTCTGCAGAGGGAATGTAAAGATAATAATGTTTATTCTCCTTATCCTGAATTTCCAGAATCAGCAAATAAGAGCTTCATGTCTCCCAGCTTTCCCTGTTATTGTAGAATATTCACCTGAAATTATTACGCTTAACTTGCTTGTGAACATCTACTCTTCCTCTATGTTATCTGAAGGAATATGTTATCATATAATTCTGCTAATTGTACAAACCCCTCACATTTAGGATTTTCTTCATAGTAGCGACAGTGCATCAAAATGGCAGCACTGTGCTTTTGACTTAGAAAATGTATGAGCTGACCTGGCTCTAGCTAGGCCACTGAATTGCATAGTCAAAAGAACTTATCACCTTTGAAATGTAAGTAAATATTCTCACTCTTATTAGAGCTGCAGGAAGCAGCTTGCCCAATATGCAGACTCTGTGAATGAGTCTCTCCAAGCTTCAGCATTTACCACCCTTCATTCAGTAGATTGGTGATGAGGTGTGCTGCTACCCTGACAGAATATTTCTAACACCCAAACTGATGCAGTTTTTTAACCCAAGAGGAAGATGACTTACAATCTCACTAGGAACGTAATTTTTCTTACTTTCTTTATTATTTTCATTTTGCAGTAGGGTAGATGTGAGTCAAAACAGCAATGTCTACTAATCAGAGCAAGACAGACCTGAGCAAGGTCTCAAGAATAGCACATTTATTAAAGGTACTTACAAAAGCTTGTATCTTTTTCAGAAGCCACTATGCTTTTAATGGTGGTGTTGTTTCATACAGTTAAAGATCAAATAGCTACTTGCAATTCTGAGCTTATAAAATGTCATCATATCTTGTGAGGATACACTAACCCTAAGCATACTTTCCTTTGTTTCTTGTTCTTAGAAACAGAAAGTGTCTTGTAAGTTTATAGGGGACAGTTTTAGTTTCAAATCCAGGAAAGCACGTGATTTACATTCTGAAGAAAAGAAGGCAGGACTTGTCACCAGCAATCTCTGATATAGTAAAATTGCTATAACTAGTTGTGCAACTGCCTTTAATTTGTATTTTGAAATAAGATATACAAAAAAGTTTATGAAAAGCAGGATTTCCCCCCCCCCGACATAAGAATCATAAACAAGTCAAATCAGTAAATTTTTTAGAAATATCTAAAAATAAATGTACTTTCGTGAATGTCAGTAGTTGGTGATTTAGATAACAAATACCAGCCTGAAAAATCCTTGTTCATAGAAGAGCTTGCATATGATGATATATATTATACCAAAAGCATAAAGAGTGCCAATAGGATTACATATCTTTTTCAATGTCTACTTTCATAAATATATCAGAGTCTTTACACCAGTACACTTAGAATTGCTTTCTCTCTGCAAGCTTTGTCATCAGAAGCAACTAAAATGTTTTTTTTTACGTCTGATAGGCTGTCATATACATATAGATATTTTAATATGACTTAAAAAAGGAAATAAAACATGCACATGACAAAAACATCATTACTTTTTTCTCCTGTGCTTGTGGTATAAGCAGTTGAGAGAGATGTGTGTCCACACAGTCCAACTTAATCATGTGCAGAATTTTGAATTTACTTTTCCTGTGCTAACATTGTAACTATCTTCTGAATCAAAATTCCCCCGAGAATGGTATCACAACATGGAGCTCAGGAACACTACAGTGTGTATTTTGCAAGTTCCTAAGGGTAGAAGTGGGTGGACTGTAGTAATGCACTCCTACACAGCCATGAGTACACCTGCTCCACAAATAATTTCTGACAGCACTAGCGCTCTGAACGCTGAGCATGGGCCTGAAGATTCAATCTCAGTTGCAACACCAATGCCAGCAATAGCTCAAGGCAACTCAGATAAGCAGTTTTCCTCTTTCCTCAAGCCATAAGGTCACAGTAATACTAAGATACTAAAGGAATATTCATCTGATTAGTTTTAGCAAATTAATCTGAAGATTTAGGGACTCAATCTACAGATATACTTCATTTGTGTTATGGGAATCTAGATAGAAATGGTCTTTCAGCAAATCCACGGCCTCCAGATTCACTGCCCAGAGCATCAACAAAGCTCTGGGTCCCTGTGGTCTCAGGTACTGTTGAGTGATGCAGCGGCGGGGTGCAGGGGAGACCCGCTCCCTCTTTAGTGCTACTTTCTGTCTCTGAACTGATGCTTATCTTATACCTCAGCCTTCTTCCCATCTTCCCCTCCAAGACCATTGATTGCCCAGGTGTCGAGTTAGATGTCTGAGGCAAACAGCAGACTTTGCTGGCTTTCCATGCATAGGAAGGGCTTGCCAAAAAGACTGCTCTCTCTTTCTGAATCCTAAACATAAATGCTCACTGAGAAGTAGTGGTTTAATGACCTGTTTCAAGGCCATGCGACAGAAAACTCTTGGTTACCTAGGCATCCAAGCATGCAAGATGTCCCCAGTGGCTTCAGTGGGAGTTTTTATGCAGTTAAAACCATACACATGAATTAATCGGGATCTAACAAGCTGATTTGTAATTATGTTTTTTTCTAGTGGGAAGATAATATCATACAGCCAGCCACAGCCAAGCTTTTAAAATAAAGGAATGGAAATTTTTTCCGGTAACGTAAGTACTGAAAACACAACTGGAGTTAGATCCATTTACGCCAACAGAGAACCTGCTGCATAGTGTCAGTCATTGATTACAGGGCATAACGGCAATAATAACGTCCTCACAGTCAGTCATTTCTGTAATTAACAATTAGCTTGTCAATGTACAAACTGGTCTTAGCTTCTCCTACAGCTGATAGCTAAAAAAGTCTGGTCATTAGCAACACCGAACATCTGAATTCTTTGGGACTCTGCCCGGACTGATGCAGATTACTCATCTGTGATACTCAACTGCAGTCACTCTGTACAGTGAAATTTCTGCTGAAGGCTGCATGTGTGAATGTTTCCAAAAATAGACACAGAGTTTAGAAGCATAACTGCTTTATCCAGTGAAGTTACTCAGGAATGTCTTTTTCTCTTTCTTTGCAAGGTAAGGCTTAAATGAAAGACAAATAAATCAATGAAGAAAATTACCAACAATTCCATCTTGACTCTGGCCTTTTATTAATATTTTTATTTTGGTATAATATATATCATTCTAATATGGAAGAAAACCATTTCTTTTGGAGGAAAAAAAAAAATCAGTAGTGATGCTGTCCCTTACGTGCATTATAGTGCAGAAAGTCTAATACATATGCATTTTGTTTCCCTAGATATTTGGGAACAAAACTCATGAACACTCTATGGAATTCATCTGTTCGGAGACAATCAGCACAAAATCCTGTTTTATTTCTGAATGAAAGGTTTTAGCTTTTAGAAGAATACACTGCACAGAAGAGTCGTGCTGGCCTTTCACACAGGGAAGATTTCATCCTAGTGTCTGTCATCAGAAAACAGAAGCTACTCCTGCTAATGTTGTTGAGAACCTGACTTACTGAATTTAGTAGGTCTGGGACTGTAATCCTCTTTGCCATGTTTATTTCTCCTACTGAGAGATTCTCTAAACAAGTTTTCATGTCCCAAGTTTCCAATGAGCTACTGTAGATCATCGAAGTTATATTCTGATAATGTCCCTTCAGTACATATACATGGTTTCACTAAGTATTCTTATCCTCTGAGACAGGAGTGTCTCTATTGAAATGAATCGTTTAGTTTTATGTCAAAAGCATCAAGAGCATTTTCTAGGGAAAAATGAATCCTAGGAGTCAAACAAAACTCCTTTTCACAAGGGATGCCGAGATTTTTACCATATGATTACATCTGTTTCAGAAAGGCAAAGTAGATGGCACAGTAATTGATGTCTGCCTCTCAGAGCAGTTTTAAAACATCCTAAAACTAGTCACACTACTCGTTAAAGAAGTGACAGCATTAAGAAAATCAATATCAAACCATTGAACAGCATTTAAGAAAAATCTTTCCACACTTTTGGCAGATATTATGAACAAAGCAAAATAAGAAAGCCAATAGTCTTTGTTTTCGTCTACTTGAATGCTTGGCTATTTTCAGCAGAATGTGTTAATGAACATTGGAAAGGTACACATTAACATACTTGATAGAAGGTAAAATGCAATGAGGGGATTTAATCAAAGCAATGAAGGAGTCTAATTAATGCAATCAGCATTAGGTCGTGCAAATATTTTCATTGAATGCCATCTTGTAAAGCCAGTGACGTGCAGAATTTTTGCTACTTAATGCTATGCTGATGCGTCTACATGCTAGGATCAACAGACATGTCTGGGTAAAAAAGGCTACGTTCATAGACATCTTCTCAGGATCCTTTAAATACAGGAAAACAAATGAAGTTTTCCAAAAACCTGGAAGTTAAGTCTGTTGATAATTATGTTATGTCAAGATATGTTTCTTCCTGTTGTTTTTAAGTTGATTTTAGTTTTATTTTATGGTATTTTTTAAATATTACACATACACAATCTAAAGCATTAACTTATCTGTTTATTATTTCATAGCTCTGTATATTATAGTCAGTCATTTATACAAGAGTCTTTCCCACACTATTTAAGAAAGCAACTTCCCCTAGCAGTAACTTGCCCTTTATCTTTAAAAAATGTTAAATAACAGTGTGGTTTTTCAAGGAAAAATATTTAGGAGCAGAAGATTTTTGATCCTACATTACTTTGGCACCACTTTCTAAAATGATGGCACAAATTGCAATCGAATTTAAATGAAGAATTTGAATATTAAATAAAATAATAAAGATGGGCTTTTTTTTTCTCTTCCTTCATAATGCAAGGATCACCAGGCAGCATCTATCCCATTAAAAAAAAAATAGTCCTTTGGTATACCTTAAGTCCTTTTGTGGGTAGCAAGTTCATTTTTAGTTACCAAGAACTCAGTCCTACAGGATGCTAAACACCTTTATTGCCTCTGGCTTCAGAAAATACAGAAAGACCTGGACACTGTGTAGGAATCCCTGGAAAACAGAGTTGTGAAACTGCATTGCAATTGCTTCAAAAATGTCCGTAGTTGTCTATAGTGACCTGAGGCAATGAAAATAACTCTTGCAAAATTTCAGTGAAGGTTAGAGCACCCATTTTTAATTTCTGTTGTGGCAATGGTAACATGAAGAGTTCAAAGTCAAGCTGAGATTTATCACTAGACCCTTTCTAGAATGGGTTTAACCCATTTCTTGTACAAGAGCACCTGATAATTATTATGGGTTTATCACATCATTATAAGAAAGCCACAAAAAGTCTCTCTCTGGACTAACCCCAGTAGTCAGATGTATGTATGCTTGAATAAACAACTAACCTTTTTTGTTCATTTTTTGAAAAACAATATTGTTGCAGCATTCCAGTATTATTGTAAACCAGAAGGGGGCCTACGAGAAAGCTGGAGAGGGACTTTTTACAAGGGCATGTAGTGATAGGACAAGGGATCTTTAAACTAAAAGAGGGTAGATATAGATTATATATATAAGGAAGAAATTCTTTACTATGAAGGTGGTGAAGCACTGGAACAGGCTGCCCAGAGAAGCTGTGGATTCCCCCTCCCTGGAAGTGTTCAAGCCCAGGTTGGACAGGGCTTTGAGCAACCTGGTCTAGTGGAAGATGCCCTTGCCCATGGAAGGTGGGGTCGAACTAGGGTATCTATCATGTCCCTTCCAATCGAAACCATTCCATGATTCTATGAATAAACAAGTTTTAGTATCTTTTTCAATAGACTCAGAAAAAAATATTATTTTTTCTTAGCAAATATTAAAAAAAAAGAAAATTCACTTCTAGACTAAAAAAGAAAAAAGCTGATCTAAAATTTTCCTTTCCATTTTTTGAGACTGACTTCATTAATCCTAAATTTTAGCAATTTTTAAGAGAAAAATCTCATCTTGAAAAGAAAAAAATATTTACTTTACGAGAAAGCTGGAGAGGGACTTTTTACAAGGGCATGTAGTGATAGGACAAGGGATCTTTAAACTAAAAGAGGGTAGATATAGATTATATATATAAGGAAGAAATTCTTTACTATGAAGGTGGTGAAGCACTGGAACAGGCTGCCCAGAGAAGCTGTGGATTCCCCCTCCCTGGAAGTGTTCAAGCCCAGGTTGGACAGGGCTTTGAGCAACCTGGTCTAGTGGAAGATGCCCTTGCCCATGGAAGGTGGGGTCGAACTAGGGTATCTATCATGTCCCTTCCAATCGAAACCATTCCATGATTCTATGAATAAACAAGTTTTAGTATCTTTTTCAATAGACTCAGAAAAAAATATTATTTTTTCTTAGCAAATATTAAAAAAAAAGAAAATTCACTTCTAGACTAAAAAAGAAAAAAGCTGATCTAAAATTTTCCTTTCCATTTTTTGAGACTGACTTCATTAATCCTAAATTTTAGCAATTTTTAAGAGAAAAATCTCATCTTGAAAAGAAAAAAATATTTACTTTTTAATATATCAAAATTAAAACTCTAACATTTTCATTTTGGCCTTGTTTTTTTGACTGATAGCATTCTTTGAATTCAATCAAAATACACATTACATCAGCTGGAATCTCATAATTTTCTAGTACCAATTTAACCCTCAAAATACCCAAGTCTCCTTATAGCTAAAAGTTTTAGTCTTTTAGCTCAAGTTATGCATTCGCTTCTGTTACTGATGTGGCTGCAACTCACAGAGATTTAGCGAAGTCAAACAAGACCATTCTGGTAGCTCTGTCAGGACAGTCTGCAGCAGCAGATAATTCAGCATGTGGTGTAAGATCCACTTAAATTATGGAGTACTTGGCAGGGAGCCCCACAGCTCAGCTCCAGCCATTGTGCTTCCTCTTCAGTGCTGACAAAACCTGAGAAAACTGGTTTGCACACACCTGTACTTGCTGCTGTTGCAGTTGATACAGATGATGGTGCAATCACTACATATGTACTTTCAGACTTGGTAGTAGAGTTTAATGATTCATATATCTCTTTATGTAGTTATTTTATATTTATTTTAAGTCAGCTGGTAGGTTTTTAGTAGCTTAATAACTTAATAAATGTCCCCATGTCCTGAGCATCTCTATTCTACATCATATCGCACTCCTTCACAAGATGGCTTCAATGACTAGTCCCACTCACCATTGTAGTTTCTGCTATTGAACCAAAGCTGTTGATAAATATGTTGCAGGTAACATTTACAGGAGGACCTGCAAGTTGAACAATAAATAGAAAAATTGACAGGTTGTGTTCATGACATATATTAAGTATTGCTGTTCTCTTGCCAATGGCATCATAGCACTTACCATTGTGGTTTCTGTGACTGATCCAAAACTGTTGATAAAAATATTGCAAGTAACGTTTACTGGAGGACCTGTGGAATGCAATAAAAATGTTGCAATATACATTGAAACAAAAGTACAGATCCCTCAGCCTCCATAAAATCTGGTACAGATGTGGCTAAAAACAAGTAGAAAGTGAGTTTTCCCAAAGAGATAATGTAAATATTGATCAAAAGAAAAACATTCTCACCACTAATATGATTGACTTAGTTTTAATGAAAGCTGTTATATAAATACACAGAACTATATCCTTGCATTTAAGGGTTTACGAGAAGAGTTGAGTGAGGGCATAACAGCTTTTTCTTCATCAACAGTACCAGCGCAGAATATGCTTTAGCATTGCAACCACTCCTCTCTCCCTTCCTTCTCAGACTTAAAATTGAAATACTATCTCTCCACATCAATTCCAGTCTGTATGCAAAGGCTTGCCACTGAAATTCCCAGCAAGCGCCACTTTCCACATTGACTGTAGTCCACTGAAAACTAACTTAGGCAAGCAGCTCTTTGTGCACCTCATCTGGAGATGTCTGTCTTGCCATAAACAAATATTTTAGCAATATCTGCTCTGACTTGACACAGCTTTCATTAAACAGCTATTTGCAATCTCCCCCCCTCCCACCTGCTTTCCTGCTATTCAGCATTCACTGATGTGTAGCAGAACGAATGGGGACTTCATATTTAATTAGTTGTCTATTAGCCTCCTAGCTGTTTTAGGTGTGATGAAATAAACAGAGGTTCTCAACTGAATCAAAAAAGATTAATGGTAAATGCCTGAATTTTAGTGACACAAAAGTTGATACAAGCATGGAGTATCAAGTACCTTTTTCTCTCTTTTCTCGCTATTTTTTTAAACACCTAAATTTCCTTATATTAAAAAAAAATCAGTACACAGAACAAATATTTACATTTGGTTCCATATTTAGATCTGAAATTTCTTTACTATTACTTTCTTTTTCAAAAAATATTGTGCCCAGTGAAAACCAGTACACTATCAGCGTCCTGAGTGCTACACCACCCACATTCAAGGAAAGAAACTTGTTGGTTTTGGGAAGAAAACCCACGACAATAGTATGTTTAGAGGCTTTTAAACTCCACCAAAGTGTGTTGTCCAACTCAGTTTTTGCAACAGTTGTTTTTAAAAAACACCGCCTTTTTACATCGTAAATGTGTTTTCACTTTCAGCACCAAGCTAAAACGAGCCAAATAGTCTGCTGTTCTCACTCCATAATATCATTTTTTTTCTTTTTTACTTCATGATGTTTCTACTAGCTGGACAGCTTGACCAACATACTGTATTACATCTGAAAAAAAACCAGAATCATTGAATCATTGAAGTTGGAAGGAACCTCTGGAGATCACCCAGTCCCAGAGCTAGGTCAACTACAGCAGGTTGTTCAGTACAATGCCCCATTAGATTTTGAATATCTCCAGGGATGGACACTCAATAGTTTCTCTGGGCAACCTGTGCCAGTGCTCAGTCACCCTCACAGTACAAAGTTTTTCTTCAGTTTAAGTGAAATGTCCTGTGTTTCAATTTGTGCCCAAGGTTCTTGCTCTGTAACTGGGCACCACGAAGAATAATCTGTCTCCATCATCTTCTTTATTTACCCCCCATTAGTTATTTACGCACATTTTAAGAATTTCTTCACTCTGAGGGTGAAGGAACACTGGAACAGGCTGCCCAGAGGGGTTGTGGATTCTCCTCTGGAGATATTCAAGACCTGCCTGGACAAGGTCCTGGGCAGCCTGCTCTTGGGCACCCTGCTCGGCAGGGGGCTTGGACTAGGTGACCCACAGAGGTCCCTTCCAAGCCCTAACACTCTGTGAAGAAGACTCCACAACCTCCCTGGGCAGCCTGTTCCAGTGCTCCATCACCCTCAGAGGGAAGAAGTTCTTCCTCATGTTCAGACAGAACTTCCTGTGCTTCAGTTTGTGCCCATTGCCCCTTGTCCTGTCGCTGGTCACCACTGAAAAGAGTTTGGTCCCATCCTCCTGACACCCACCCTTGAGATGTTTATAAGCATATTTTAGGGCCCCTCGCAGCCTTCTCTTCTTCCGGCTGAACAAGCCCAGCTCCCTCAGCCTCTCCTCATAGGAGAGATGCTCCAGTCCCCTCACCATCCTCATAGCCCTTTACCTGCCTATACCAGTAAGTCCATGTGTCTCTCGTAGTGGGGACCCTAGAGTTGAACCCAACACTCTGGAGGCATCTCACCAGTGACGAGTAGAGTGAAGGATCCCATCCCTCAAGCTGATGGCAGTGCTCTGCCTAATTCAGCCCAGGAGGCTATTGGCCTTCTTTGCTACAAGAGCACAATGTTGGCTCATGTTCAACCTGGTGCCAACCAGGACCCTTTTCTGCAAAGCTGTATTCCAGTTGTTCATCTCCCGGTTTGTTCCTCCCAGGGTGCAGGACTGTATTTCCCATTGCTGAGCATCTAAGGCTCCTATTAGCCCATTTATGCAGCTGATCCAGGTCCCTCTGAATGGCAGCACAAACCTTTAGGGCATCTACCTTTCCTCCCAGTCCTGTACCTCCTGCAAACTTGCTGAAGGTACACTCTGTCCCATCATCCAGGTAATTAATAAAGATGTTAAACAGTATTGGCCCAGTATCGATCCCTGCAATACACCAGTAGTGTTGCGTGCTGCTGATCACAACAGTCTGAGCATGGCAATTCAGCCAGTTTTCCATGTACCTTACTGTCCATTTAGTTAGTCTGTTCCGATAGTTTGTCTATAAGGATGTTGTAAGAGACAGTGCCACAAACCTCACTAAAGTTGGGATAAGCAACCTCCATTGCTCTCCCATCAGCCGTGAAGCCAGTCAAGTTACTGGAGAAGACTACTGGCAGGGTCAGGAATGATTTCCCCTGAACAAATCGATGCTGACTACCCCCAGTTATCTTCCTGTCTTTCATATCTGGAAATGGTTTCAAGGAGCATTTGCTCCAGGCTTCCTCGTAAGGTTGGTTAGTCTGCAGTTCCTGGATCCTCCTCTTTGTCCATCTTGAAGACGACTGACATTTTTTTTCCCATGACGAGGAATCTTCTCCAGTTGCCATGATCTTTCAGAGATGATTAAGAATGGCCTCACAACGCCATCAGCCAGCTTCGTCAGCACTTTCGGGTGCTTCTCTTCTCCACTGAGTTTTCCTTGATCCGGACTTTCCTACAGGTTTCAGGGGTGTGTGTTTTCTGAACACCAGCGTTATCAGTAAAGACTGAGGTGAAGCTGGCATTGCTTTGGCATTATTTCACGATCTTTTTCAATTTTTCTTTAATTTCACGGTGTTGTCTTGCAAAAGCTGCCGCATGTGAGAACCACAGATATCAGTTCCTGAGTGCCAGCAGAACCTAGTAAATGTGCTTGCCTACATTAGGAAATATGCTGCCACACCACAGACTGCAATTAAGATGTACACTAAGTAGGTACAGGATAGACCACTGTATCTTACAACAAAGCAAATATCTCCCTCCATTTCTGTACTCAATTGTATAATATATTTTACTCGCCTTCTGCTGGTAGATGTGCAATAGTGTAAGAACTCAGTAAACTCTAGTAAAAACAAAAGAGAAGATCAGGTTTGTGGTCACCTAAGGAACTTGAATATACAAAAGTCTATGGGACCTGACAAGTTGCATCCCAGAGTCCTGAAGGAATTAGCTGATGTCATCGCCAAGCTACTCTCTATGACATTTGAAAAGTCACGGCAGTCAGGTGAAGTCCCTGGGAAATATTGCACCCATTTTTAAACAGGGTAGAAAAGAGGAGCCTGGGAACTACCAACCTGTCAGCCTTAACTCTGCCTGGGAAGATTGTGGAATAGATCCTCCTAGAAGCTATACTAAGGCACAAGGAGGACAGGGAGGTGATCGGAGACAGCCAGCATTGCTTCCCAAGGGCAAGTCCCACCTGACCAACCTAGTGGTCTTCTATCATGTAGTGACGACACCACTGAACAGGGGAGGAGCTATGGATGTCATCTGTCTGAACTTCTGGCATTTGACATGGTTTCCCACAACATCCTTATGTCTAAATTGGAGAGATATGGATTTGATGGGTGGACTGTAGATGAGGAATTGGTTGTATGGTCTCATCCAGAGGGTGGTAGTCAACACCTCAGTGTCCAGATGGAGATCGGTGACAAGTGGTGTCCCTCAGGGGTCTTGGTACCACTACTGTTTAATATCTTCATCAATAATCCAGACAGTGGGATTGAGTGCACCCTCAGCAAGTTTGCTGATGACACCAAGCTGACTGGTACAGCTGACACACCTGAGTGATGGGATGACATCCAGAGGGACCTGGACAAGCTTGAGAAGTGGGCCTGTGTGAACCTCATGAGGTTCAACAAGGCAAAGTTCAGGGTCCTACATCTGAGTCAGGGTGACCCCCGTTGTCAACATAGGCTGGGGGATGAAGGGTTTGAGAGCAGCCCTGCCAAGGACTTGGGGGAGTTGGAGGATGAAAAGCTGGACATGAGCTGACAACATGCGCTCACTGCCCCGAAAGCCAACCATATCCTGGGCTGCATCAAGAGTAGCGTGGCCAGCAGGTCAAGGGAGGAGATTGTGCCCCTCTGCTCGTCCCTGGTGAGACCTCACCTGGAGTCCTGTGTCCAGCTCTGGAGCTCTCAGTACAGGAATGACATGGACCTGTTGGAGTAGGTCCAGAGGAGGGCCACAAGCATGATAAGGGAGGAATGGAGCACTTCTCCTATGAGGAAAGGCTGAGAGAGTTGGGCCTGTTCAGCCTGGAGAAGAGAAGGCTCCGGGGAAACTTTATTGCAGCCTTCCATTACTAAATAGGGCTTATAAGAAAGATGGGGACAAACATTTTAGCAGGGCCTGTTGTGATAGCACAAGGGGTAATGGTTATAAATTAAGGAAGGGTAGATTTAGATTAAATATAAGAAAGAAATTTTTTACAATGAAGGTAGTGAGGCACTGGAACAGGTTGCCCAGAGAATCTGTGGATGCCTCCTCCCTGGCAGTGTTCAAGGTCAGGCTGGACAATGCTCTGAGCAAC